TATCTATTAGCTGAAAAGCAATCAAAGTGTGCCCTGCAACCCATCCCCAGAAAAGTATAAATATCCGTTCCATGCAGGTTGATGTTCGGTCTAGTGACTATTGTATTCATTGTAGGTTTTAGGACGATAAGGTGTTTATTTATTTAGAGAATAGAATTTGCTAATAATTGAGGCGCGAATCAAGGCGGATGGTCGGACACTTCAGGTAAGGATCGGGTAAATACAGCTGAGTTAGATTCTTTTAATGGCACGATAGTTTCAATATTGGAGAAGAAAGGTTTGGCAGTGAGTGCTTATCCTTTTCTATTTTATGTAATTGCAGCGATATACCCCCCACAGTACTGACATAATTAGGCATTTTGAATGGTATAGTTATTTGCAGTTTGCTTTAGACTGTAGACCCAAAATAGGTCTAATTATCAAAAGTATGAGCAGTAAGAGTCTCTTAAAGTGCTTAACATATAGAATTAAGGAATTGAATAAACACTAGCCTACGACTGAAGCAGTGAAGTACATTTAGTCATAGACAGTTGCAGAGCATGAGAGAATTTTATGGTATGAAGTTCGGTGAAGGTCTAAAAAGGGGTGTGGGGACGATATGTTGTGCTTCAAAGTGATCACGAGCCAAATGCCTTCGTTTTTTTGCCATTGTAGATATAAATGTTTTCATTTTTCAAATTAATTCTAAGATTAAGGTACAAGTGACTTGTCACAGGCACCAAAAATCCATCAATCTGCAGCAAAGGAAGTACTGGCTGACTATCACCTGGGGTTCCCTTTGAATTTGAAACAATACACATCATAAGCGGGAAGTAATGTATTATTTCCTTTCCCCCAATACACAATGGTTTGTTTGTATGGAAAAGGTAGTGGGGACGAACTGAACTTTTGCGGTGACAAAGCGACATGTGTTACTATTGTATTAAAGAGCGCTTGCTGGTCAGAGTGATCGTCCTATAGCCTTAGTACGGTGCAGTTACCCTTTCCTTGTCAGGAAGTAAAAAACCGTGTGGGTCTGATCAGTCGTATTATCTATGGCGCCATGTCTGCCACAGAAAAAATAGTGAACAAAATCTAGTCATGTACTCTGCGCACTCCGTATGTATTTCATTTTGACCAAAGCTGTTAATGCATTAAGTTAGTCATTTTTAGCAAACGATTTGTGATTAATTCTACTTGATTCTGGTATTAATCGTAAATAGGAAGTTCCTTTGTGCAACTAAAGTATGAACGGATTTGTGCCTAACAAAATTCATCTTGTTTTTTTTTAAAGGTTACACAGCTAGTTTTTCTTAACAGCATGCATACAAACATCATTCCATTATCAGCAGCGGCCATGCCTCTATCCCCTTGGCCGACCCAAATTGCCAATGAGAATGACATCTGAAACAATGTGACTGCACGAATCGGACCATTTTACAGTGTCACGGAAAATCAGGCTTTTGCGATACAGCCTACTACTTTCACCGACCGCCTCCACTTAAAGGTGTCTTAGGCTCATCTCGCCCCTCTGACTTTAGCCAATCTTGCGGCTCAGCGGACATGACAATGAGCATCATTGAATAAGCAGCAGAATTTCATATCTTACTTAACCATAAATAATTGAAGTCCTCAAAGTTTATTTTTCCTGCACACAGAGCTGTCCATTTCGATTTGCGGTGTAGGCATACTGTCGTTTGCTTTGACTTTCGGCTTTGCCATCTTTTAGCTCCTGGTTTAACCTTAGCCACCAAACCACAATATGCACTGAGACCACGTCTTCTTTACCTTTTCGTTTATATTTTAGACTAAACTTTCTAATTGTCGATGCTTTCCTTTTGGCATTGGGTAATATCAATAACCCTACTCCATTGGTAAGGCCCGTTATTCCACTAGAGTCAAATAGAATTGGTCCTAAGGGTTACAACTTGTTTACATATCATCCTCATCAAAAGTACTGTGATCGGGATATTAACAACTCGCTCCCTCTTTTTAAGGCCGTCTATAGTGCAAAGTTGTACAGTGATCGCGTAACAAGTCAGGGTAGCTGGGTGAAGAGGTCTATTAGAATTGTACTAAAGGTAGTTACGTAAAGAAAGGTGCAAAATCTATTTTTGTTAACAAATATGTTGGCTAACAAGTAATGTCGCGCTTTTCAGTAAGTGATATGAATACAAAGAACCGCATAGTGGTTTTTTAGTCTATTTTAATCTATCAGTCAATAAGGGACTCATTTTTTGTTACCTTTTATGACTTCCTCTTCGATGAAAAATTGCATTTTAGAAAGTTATCACAGACTGTTTTGAACAAAAAGGTACTCGATTCTTTGGGTTCTTGGTCGGTATTTATGCATCTACAGACGGCACATCATTTCTGGGTGCTTCTTTTCACTATAGCACATCTTCCACTCTCTATACATCCGATATGCCATTTTTACAATATCAAGCATATCAGATCAATGAAAAAGGCGTGCGGTCCCAGAAAATAAGCTCCTTTGTCATACACAATTGCTCCTTTTCTCTGTAGCAATTATGGCTTTCTTCATCTCACTGTACATGCACTTTTTCCGCTTGATTAGGTTTAAAAAATTCATGAGGATACTGCAATTCCTGCTTTGCTAAGCAACCGCAAAGGCTACCATAAGAGTCACTATAAGGGTTTATTGTAATTTGCTGACTCAACTAATGCTGATAAGACTAGGTTAAATAACGTGTTCATTACCGTTAACGAACAACGGCCACTCGGTACTCAATGTGTTGACACACTCAACTGAACAAGTGCCATCTAGTACCATTTCATCCTACATCGTGGCGGAGAATGCTGTTACTGATCACATGGTAGGGACGACGTAGGCTATACTGAAATCAGGAGCCTTGGCGTCAACTTTGGTGAAGTAGGAGGTTAACCACAGTCAATACGTCGACTGGTGAGGGGATATAGGACTTCTCTACTTGGAAAAGCCTTATGTCCTATTCTAAGATTTATGTATCAAGATTTTAAGTCTTTAAAATGAGAAAGGCATTAATATTTGCTTTTGGACATAATTTGGCTATCAGTGTATATTTGTCTAAAATGAAGCTGAAATTCTTTTACTTGATGGATAATTCAAGTATGTAACAGTATGCAAACCAACTACGTGTAGGCAACTCAGGTGCTCAATTTATCCTCTTAAAAAACTAGTTACTTATTTTAACTAAGCGGAGTTATCTTGACATAGTGTGGGACCCAGCAAATGGATATCTGGGTGAGGAGTTATGCAAAAGTGTCAAGAACGCTATTTTAATCAAGTGGGGACAATCAACTGATAACCTTTTGTACACCATCCACTATAAGCACTTAATGAATAATCAACTTCTATTGCAATTTAAACAAGGGACCAGTCATTTTTATGGAGGGATTATAGGTTTGCATTACAACTGTACATGTGCTCCAGCAATGCAGAAAAATAGTGAAACTGATTCAACATGCTTCGAATTCTACAGTACCTAATGTATTATTTTCTATTTTAATTTTGCCTAATAACATTACAATCTACATAACTGTTTGATTGGTAACGCCATTAGAGGTAAATATTAGTTTAATTATAATTGCTGAGTTTTATCTTTGAGAAAAAATGGCAATGTACACAAATGCTACCCCATATTTCTCGGAACAAAGTGAATAGCGTCTAACTAATATTAAATTAAAATTTATACCCTTTGTGGTAGCTTTCCTTACTAATTGACAAAATGAAACACTTGTCTTGGTTGTGTTTAAAAGTTTGTTTTTTCCATCCATTTCTCTTCCATTCATTTGCTTTTGCTAAAATACATTTTGAGAGCCTCGACCCAAAGATTGGCACATTTGACAAATTAGGATACATATGTAGTTGATACCCCTAAGACTACTGACATCTCTGGCGTTTAAGGTGATTGCTTGATGAGATGTACTTACTTCTACTGTTTGGATCCTTTTTTTTATAAAAGTGTTAATGGCCGGTCTCCTTTTGGCATCACTGACTGGAGCGAAGCACACTCACTGGCGAATGCGAACTGAACACGCTTTGATCTCAGACGGGAAGTTTCATTTGTAGAGTTGTTCCTCAAAGGGGTTAATTTTGACTGTAAAATGAATCGATGTGTACACAAAGGTATGGGAAATTCCTAAAAAAAGACCAAAATTATGCTAAGGGTACATAATTAGGAATTCAGTACCAACATCCAAATTACGAGATTATTAAGATCGTGATTCAAAATTAAGAATGCGAATATGAGTAGGTTGATAGGACTCGTGAGTTAACTTATGAGTAACTCTTTACTCATTTGAAAAATGGCACGAATTTGCTTTAACCATCGAAAAATTATAAAATGTTTCGTTGTTTTTAATTGGTAAATACCCTACAATCCCATGAGTGTTTTCTGAAGTCGTACTAGAGCGCAAATAAGCTGAAAGGTCATTTTTCTAGCTCAAAGTTTAGGCCGCAAGAGGAAGTACTAGCTGCGGATACTTAAGTGCCCGCGTGTTCAACCAAATCTTTTAACAATCTATCGAAGCACTAGAGGTCATCCACAATTACGGAAAAACCAGCTTCTTCATAACGACCTACCAAGTAGGTTTGTTTTCACATCAGACTTTTTTAATAAAAATGCGCTTTGGTATTAGATTGCAGATCCTTTTTCATTTGCAGGATGTAAAGCTTTTCTAACTTCCATCTTTTCCCTTCTCTTTTAAAAGCAGTTTTTAATGGACAATGGCCTATTATGAAATGTAAGCGTGCTTAGCATGTTAACAACGCACCTGAGGAGAATAATCCTGTCGAGTGATAAAGGCACACCAAACGGAGAAAATGCGTTTGAGTAAAGTAATAGTGCTTGAGCAATTTTCCAACATCAAGTTCCGATAACAGCTCGGTTTGGGTCACGGATTAGAAAAGAGGGATACTAGGTGACTAACCAATATCAGTCATCCGGTGCCAAAGGAGTCAATACTAATGCCTGTGCTGTTCTTTTTGCACATTTTGCGTTAATTTAATTAAGACCGAAATATGTTATAAAATATTACATAAATGGGAGTATTTTGAAGTCTTTTGAGCAAAAACACTAGGGGTAATGGACACATTTTCCTTTGCATGACTTAAAAATATGAGTCCTTTATTTGTACAAGAGGTAAACATAATTCTTTTCACGGCGTACTGCTCTGATCGAACTAGAAAGTTTACTTTTTGTCGTTTGGAAATATTAAAGCAACGTTTGTTCGCTCAAGCAAAAGGGGACCAACTATTGCACCTTAATCCTTAAAAATTTATTTTTCAATCAAAGTACTGCGATTGTCAAGCTAAAAACAGGAAAATTGAAACAGCTGCATCCTTAGGTACAAAGGGGAGTTCCCCTTCTCGACCAAAATGTCTATGGTTTGGTCGCGATGGCAAAAAGGAACGTCCTTTTCTCTCGTACTCCCCCTGCATATCTTGTCAACTCCCTCCCTGTCCACTCTGATGGCTGTCGCCATGTCTACTTTCCAATGTGTCTCACCAATCCTCCTGTCTTTCCTTCTCTTTGCCTCTCAGTCCATCCAGTTAGTTATTTCAAAGCCTCTTATCCTCTACACTTACCTTTGGACACCCCTTGTTCGTCTCTTCACCTGCATGAGCACAAGAACCAAAAATAAAGAAAAATGACTCCTTACTCACAGAGGAATCCATTCAATAAAGACGATAACAACAAACTGCCTCAAAATAAGCCGTTCGTTGCATCCGCCTTGGGCAAACGGCTCAGTAGTAGCACAGGTCAACTGTAAATTCAAAAGGAGTCTTTCGATTTGCTCGCTGCCAATTTTATGAGTGGATGATGGCCTTGGCGGTGATTGTCTTTATAGTTTTTCAGTTTGATTAAGTTTTCCAAAGCAGTGGAGGAGCCTTATGGTTCGACATCTTAGTCAGAGATATGAAAGGAGACAGGAGAGTAAATTAAATTCAAATTCCTGGAATCTCTGTTAAATTGCGATGTCCAACTATTTGAAGCTGCGTTTTTCTGTCTGATATTTCGCCTTTTCATAAAAATAGCTTATCCCTGCAGACACTCAAGTCGTCACGTGAGGAATTTTTCCAAGCAGCTTTAGAGAGTTCTTTGCTACTAAAACGTAGGAAAGTAGAGAAATCATGGTATAATGTAAGTGTAAGTAATAAAGAAAGTGAATGTAGATGCCCATTAGTCGAATACCGTTAAGGGTAGCTGAGGTCTGGTGCTGTTTACAGCTGCAGCTCTTCCTTAATATCATTTGAAATTTCAGTCTGCACAACCTCTGTAGTGCACATTCATCTTATCCAACCATAAGCCAACTAGGTTATCCCAAATTCCTCTGCTGCCTTACTGTAGCGTATGAGTGATTCCATAAGGCTAAGCAGTTGCTCTGGCGGTGGACAATGGACTGCAGACTCATCAGAAGATAGAAAATTTAAATCCACTCTCTAACTGATTCGACGATTCTGACCAATCTCATAGAGATCACCATGTATCTACACCTCCGATGCAACCACTACTGAGATTGTTGGCATCGCCTATGGCACCGGTGTTTCCTATACCTCTTCCACCACTTTCGCAGAGATGTCTCTTTCGTCCACCGTGAATTGGGACGGAGTAATATGGAAAGACATAGCCTCGATTTCATTCGACAAGACACGCTCACTGTGTACTGCGTCTTCTGAGTCCTAATTTGCCTTATCCATCGTCGACATTCTAAAGTCGATGGTGTAGTACGCAGTTTTTAAAGCAATGTCATTGTTGTCATTATTGCCATCATTAAGAAAGGAAAGCACCTGCTAGCTCATCACACTGACTACTGCGTTTGTGGTAATGGCTGTTAAGTAAATTACCTAATGTGCCATTTTCATCATCATCTAAATGCGCATTAACACCCTCAATACTATAACTCAGACTGGCACCACGTAAAAGCACCTTCACCAAGATGTACAACATCAATTATGGTGTTGGTGAGAAAATCTTCATCCACTGTCAGTGTGTCTCTCCTTCACTCAGCAGTCAATGTTGCTCAATCTGTATGTCGTGCCACGTAGCTCCTTGCTCTTATTGAATCGGCTATCTAGTTACGGAATACCTCGTGTTTAACACGTTATGTTTCATGCAGTTATTTTAACCCCCTCCTCCTCATTCAATGCACACATTTTTGCGAAATAATTTACATCTAAAGTACCCTGCTTTGGAATCTTTTAGAAGATAAGAGATTAGACTTTGTATAAGTAGTAGCCATTCACCACTATAAATATATATCCGTAAGGTCTTTAGGATACAGTAAGAAAAACGACGTCTTGGGATAGGAGATTGGATGGTTACGTCTGGAACGTCATTTCGAAATGTAAGATAATGATGATTCAGCAGTCAGTTAGTTTAAGTTTTACACAAGTTAGCTCCATTTTGTCTGCAGTACTAAACAGATTACCCATTTTTAAAGGAATTTTACCCTACAAGGTGTAGCAACAAGCAAAGATGGTGAAAATTGATATTAAACGCTGTGAAACATGAAAATCTGCCATACATAAGGAAGGTAAAACCCGTTCAAACTCACGAAAACCTTCAAATTTTCTCTAACGATTTGTCAAATAAGGAAGGATTGTGGCTCGGTTGTGGCAGTAATCAGAAAAGAATTTTGCGGCTATAAACTGAGTCATAAATTTTCTCCACTTGGTTCAGTGTAACTTCTACGGTCTGGTTTTATGTATTTAAACCATCAGGTCTAGACTTGGCAAATTTTCTTCTCATTCGCCATTGCAATCAATAAATGGTTCCATGTCAAAATTATGGATCAGCACCCTTAGCCTCCAAACAGATTTCCTTCGGCTCTGCCATGATTGCATATTGCATCTGCTTTTGCATCCCTGAATACTGCATATCAATAACATGAGCATTATCTCATGCAATTAACGTAAGGAAGCCTCACTTGGTTCTGCACTGGAGCTGCTTTTGCCCCAATTAGACAAATCACATCTTCATATGAGAGGCTTACAGGTAAATTCTACAAACTCGAATCCAAAATGAGTGATATTCCCCCACCAACTTTCAGTTATTTATAATTATATATTCCGGACTATAATAATTTAACATTCACAATAACCTCATGCGCAAAAGGAGAGAGCTGTGCTACAAGATACTGACGTTGCCACGTCTACTACCCCTCTGATTGCCCAAGGATAGGATAACACCACTACACCATTCGTAAGTCTTATATATGCCATTGTGATATGACGGTTTGCCCAAATTCATTGCCTTACTGATTGCATTGGTAGTCAATGCATTCTGTGAATAAAACTGCCTAGCAGCAACCCATACCTGATCATATTGGTTATTAAAATGACTAGCAGTAACAAAACAGCCATCCCTCAAGTGATTTAACTAATAGCTAATTAGTAATCCCGATATGCGGATTGTTAGATCGTTTAGACGGAGAGACCTTAACGCACGCATATACATGGCAATTTTCTAGTGCACATGAAGCACCATAAGCCTCCACTGCATGTGCTTAAGTCCATTTTTCTCTTGGATTGTCGGCATTGCAGAAGGCGATGGACAAGATATCTTTAATATTTAGCACATTCAGTGGTACCAAGCGCAGTTCTTACAGGTATTAACCCAAAAGGAATTTTAAATGTCAAATCTTAACCCGTTATTCATGCCTGCAACACTTATGGGGCGATTTTGCTGCGCAATGGGAACTAACGGATATCAAATACTCCCCACCTCATGACGTTCCGTTGCAATCTACAGGGAGGGACATTGTAAAACAGACACCATGCTATACAAAAAAAATCACCTAATTTCTCACGTGATATGCAGCTAGAGCTCTCAAACAATTGACATGATCGCAGCAGCAACTGTTACACATTCTGAGCATTTCTTGAGGCACCCGCCAAAATGTCCATGAATTCCAAGTACATATGGTGGAGCTCGAACAGCGTGTAACCATATTAAAGAAACGAAACTGATATGATCTAAAACGGGTTATTCAGTGGCCTGTCTTGTTTACAATTCTGTGCCAAATGAAATTGTCACATGGAGCACCCATTTTACGTTCAATTATTATTTTGTTAACTGCGAAAGTCTAAATTATTCCAGAACAAACTATAAACAATCTGCAGTAGCTTAGTTAAAAGAGGGTGGAACCAAATTCTGGATAGTAGCTAGTTAAAACAGTTTTATGCATTTGAAAGGGAATCATTTACAATCACCCATGCTGAAACTATGGAAAAAGATCGAAGTTCTTGGGATTAATAAGTAAAATTTTAAATAGAAATTTGTCCACGTGATGCATTTTATACCAGTGGCATGCCGGTGAGAGTTTTCTGTGTTCCAATTTATTTAGATTTTACTAGTATGGAGTTAAATTCCTCCATATTTTGTGTCACCTAAATCCCTAAAATCTTCAAGGTAAACAGAATTCTACTCGAAAAGGAAAGGACAGGATGAAAATTGGTTTTGTAAGCAGATGCAATGAGTTGTTAGGTCATAAAGTGGTTTTGTTTCACAAAGTTTAGTAGAATTGTCGAATTATTAAACACGGTGGTAATAAGTAAAATTTGGCTGATTTTAACAGGTTAATGGGGTAATTGTAACTACAACAGGCAACTCCACTGCGCCTTCTAGACTCTGAGGTTACCCACTCCACATTTTGTCAGTTTGATGTGGTAGCTATAATTCCCCTTGAACATTCCCAAGAATTGGCGAAAAGCACGATCACGAGACTAGACAAAATGCTATAAACAAGATGGTAAGGTCAAAAATGTGAGGTTAACTGTCAGATCTGCGAAAGAAATAGAATACCTTGGTGCAAAAGGTGCGAGTTTGATGTCTAAATCTGTAGAATTAAGCTCCATCTCGTATAGATAACAATCTCTAGATGACAAGAAAAAAGGCTATTGAACCGCTCAAATTCCTTTTCTACTACACCAAACACTAACATTAGTGTAGAATTGGACCTGTTAGCGATAACATAGTCAGCTCGTTTCAAAGCTACTCGGATGGATATAACACAAAGCACAGTGGAAATGAGGTACGCCTACGATAGTTGATGGTAGACACATTAAAGATGAAGCACGGGTTTGAATATATTGACACATAAATAAGCAGGGTACCAAATAAAGGCAGTGTGGATGCCAGAGCTGGCGTCACATGCTTGAAATTGGGAGGAGGGGTGAGAGGGAATATAGGCTGACGGACATTTTGGATGTTGGTGAATTTTGCTCAGAAATTTGGATAGGAAATTGGACTAAAATAATCACGAATTGAACTTGCGTTCCTTTACACAGCGGCCAAATGCTCCTGAATCACGTATACTTTACAGTCTACAGCACTCTATTACAATACAAACCATGTTTACAGCAGCTACCCTTCTTTTCGCAAATCTTTTTAAACTCAAACATCCATCAAGTTAGTGCAATAATTCTGCTAGTAAAATACCACAATGCCGCCTTTGAAGGTGATTCAAAGCAACACTTGCAAAACCCTCGGTAATCCATTTAATTAGTGAAAATAAGTTAACGAAGACCAATTACCTGAAGTTTTAAGCTGCGATGCGGCTGAATTTAGGTAGAATTAGAGGACATTACACTCTCTGCACTTGCCGAACAGCGCGGGATACTAAACGATTGTCATCGGTACCAATAGCAAGGGCAGGATTTTAATGTCCATGTGAGCGTATATGTACATGGTTTAAGAGACTAGTAAAAGCCGGACAACTATTAAAGTGGGAATTTTCAAAAAAGGGATTATCATCACTTTACTAGCAATCTAACTAAAACAGTTCATTTAACTCCCGTCTATCTTAAAGTAGCCCTGTTGCCGTTTATAGGTGGCACTCCATCGAGTTCTTTTAAGCGTGGAGGCGGCAATACGGAGACTGAATGAATTTGTGCGTAAACAGGGGTTTTTTAGCAATTCAGAGTGAACCCGAAGAATTAGGTCACCTATTCCTTCCGAAAACTGATACTGTGGTGTACCTATGGGCCAAGAGTCTAGATGAGAAGGATCGCTATCACCCAAACTTGATGAAGAAGCAACGACCTCTGGCCTTCCCCAAAATTGAGTACTATTCTAGCCACTGCATTCCTTGATAATACTAGCTAAATATCCTCCTTAATAACCGGGTCTTCTTCGCAGTAGTCGTCATTGATGCCGTTCCCGACTTCTTTGTTCTCCTCTGGCGATGAAATTAAATTCTCGCATTCTTCTGAAAATACCAGTGTATGGCCACAGCCATCCTACCTGTTCTCATCCATAGCTGCAGCGTCAGTTAAATTTAATAAATTCAGGCTAAAACCCTAAATTTGAGCATTTGGGAAATAGAACCCAAAGGTGCTTGTTCGAAGTGGAGCATCCGAAGAGAAATTCTTAAAGATGAACAAATGTTATTGTTCCAACATGTAAAAACGCGTGTAATGATCTGAACAACTAACTTTAATATCTCAGTTGTATAAACTGGAGGCTGATTACTGATTAAATGCAAAGAAAACCTACGGTCTCATCAAGTATGCAGTCCACAGCTTCTAGAAGTGATAGAACACATGACCTCATTCAGGCCGAATGACTGACGGAGCTATCCACCATCCACTTAGTAGTGGTCGGACAAGTTAAAGCTGGTAAAAAAAATGTCTTGCCTTTTTATCGTCTTATGCATTCATAGATTTTAAAGTGTAGGCTATTTGACAACTGTAAATCTGCTGAGGTCAATGGCTTAGGGTAGCCTAAATCCTGCATCACTAGGGCAAATTGAGGGTAGTGTCCAATTCAAATAAGGAAAAAAAACCGTCCCGGGATAGTATTAAAAAGAGTGATTCGGCAACATTGGTTGGACAAAAGAAATAGGCAAGGAAACACCATTGTAAGTCTCTATTATTTGGACTCGATCATATTTTACCAAGTCAAAGGAGGTATCTCACTTTGATAACTTTTTAGACATGGATGAGATCACCGGAAATGTGTGCCCCCAGCAGGATTTCTTAAATCTAAACTTGTCCACAGGTAAAGCTAATATTCCTACTGTACCACTTACATGTCAACAAAAAAAGGTTTGCTCTGGGTAACTCTACTTCACTCTAATTTTTGCCCTGCTGTGTGGTGTAGTTGATGGTAAGTAGCGGCTATTTAAAGGCAACTTATTGCTGGTTTTTGTTTGCGTCACTGTCTCTACTGCCTACTCCGATGTACAGAAACACAGATGCACACTTGCAAAAGTGTATTTCTTTTGGGATTAATGCACCGAGTAGAATAGGTAAAAGCTGTCTCCTTGTTGCATGTTGCAAAGACCGTACTTCTACTTGGCCTTCGTCATTCGCTACTCCATAAAGGGGAGCCTATACGACTAGCCGAACTAATTGCTCCATCAAGAGCTGTGTCTTTTCGCTTCTATATTTTCACCACATCATGTAATTATGCAAAATCACTTTCGTGACAAGCCAAATATTGCCTTTTTTAGGCGTATACAAATATGTAAAGTACCAAAAGTAATGTATTTGTATTTTTGGGTTAATTTTGTCCTCCCTAATGCCTGTAACTTGAATTACATCATTGCAGTCTCCCTTACTGGATGATACTTCTATCGTTACCACTCCTATCCCAATCGTCTTGTAGCTCAGATTATTTTTCACTTGTGCCATAGGTTAAAACTGGTTGGAATATAGTGCAGCGTTGAATGATAATGACTTCCAAGTAAGAGCATAGCTATCTCTCCATCCACCTAATTGGTCCTTTGACTAGGAGCAAGAGACTTCAATTTATCTGATGATTATAAGCCATTGGCGTCTGTAAAATTGTCAAAATTACCAAATAGCACAGCATCTGACCGCTTTGTGTATCTCCTGTGGCTTAAAGCGATGGGCAGGCCGTGCGTGAAGCCAACAAGCTTGTAACCCCAACAGTATTACAGATTTAACCTTACCAAGCTCACACTCCCGTCATTACTGCTGCGCATCGGAATTTTGCAATGGGTGCAATCCGCAATTTGCCGCTAGATTTTAATAATAATTCCCTTATGAATGAACAGTGTATTGATTCTACACCTAAACGCATGTGGTATCAAGGGCGGGCACCCTTACATGCATGGATTGTCTCCTTTTTGATGTGTGTCATGGATGTATATCAGTGACTATGAATCCATCCATTCCATTTGATTCCGTAGAAGTAGATGGCCGAAGCACATTTGATTCGTGAATGGAATTCAGTTTTCACATTGAGGACACGCTGAGGACATGGACAATTTTGCTTGTTGCTAATGCAAATATTACTTTTAGAAAATGATTTCTGCAGCATCAAGATTATATCCATCATGCTGATTCGGTACCTAAGCCTGCAGTCTACCGCCTGATTCGTGACTTCCTTCCCTATCAGCTAGCAGTGTCTGCACCATAGCCAATTGAATATTCAGTAGTTGCATGATCACTTTTCTTCCATATGAACTAACATATTTTTCAACACTATGCTTTGTACAGGAAGGGAATTTTTATTTCATTTTATTCCTGTAATAAGCGCTCCTGCTCACTTGAGGGCTGCATCTTGGGAACCTTTTACAAATAAGACCCACCGATTAAAGGGTTGCAATCCATCGGTGAATGCGGTAGGCTAAGCCACTTGCAGAGCATTACTGACTTGTTCTGATGTGTAACGCTTACCGCATACAGACTTGTTGTTTTTATGAATATCTGCATATACCAAATGTTAAAATATATATTTTGGGATTACGGAAGGCTAAAGACCATGTCAATGCATGAGCAGGACTTTTGTAGTTTTGGTAAGGGAAGCTGACGCACCTATGCGCTGCAAGGAGAGAGGAATACAAGCTTTGCTGACTGCATATACACTTCAGTTGCTTTAGTATTGTTCTTTTGCAAGTTGCTCATCAAATATTCGCTCCCAGAAGTTAAGGATGTGAAGTCCTTAGGCTTGTTTTTTACCCTTAGAAAAAGATGTGTGATGTTTTCCGTCACAGACATATAAACATGCAGTCCTTGTTAGCTAAACCCTGTCAGTGGCTATTTTAAAACAAAAAGGAGCTTTAATTTTATCTCCTCCTTTTGTTTTTCGCTCACTTTTGGACCTGTAGCCTAGCATGTATGGTAAAAGGAAGCAATATCAACGTTTTGCATGACATTTCACCATTGTCTGGTAATTTTGCAATTTTATTTCAATGGAAGATGATCTAATTACCTTTTTAAATTCACCCATTATTGCATGGATTTCTGCCGTAGTAAGTATGTGTGGATTTATTGTTTTGCTTTGTGCAAACTGTTTGAAAATTAAAAACGGAACCGATAATCAGGAATTGGCCTTTGCGTTAACAAATCTGCAGCACTTGGCAACATGAGATCAAAAGCAATCGAGAACGCTGACTTGAAAGGTGAAATTTTGCATCAGCTTATGTGAGAAGAAATGCTTCAGATTGTTCTAGATGGAGTCATTTTGAGTAGCGGTTAGAAGGTAGACCTATTTAAAACCTTCGGTACACTGGACTGCTTACAGGAGAAAGATGAAACTTCTATGCAGTGTTTCCTTAATTGCCCTCACCTTACCCTTCGTAAAATGGTACATTAGTTACCACATTCGCTGCATTTTGGTGATAGAATCA